GGCTGCTCTGGGTGGACGGTGGGGTCAGCTAGTATGAGCAAACCTCTGGCAACAGCCCAGGCTTTGATTCAGACCCCTGCCATGGATTTGGAGGGTTTCTTTGCTCCTGGTTGTTTCTTAAAGCAAATGTGAGACAGAAAAAAAAAAAAAAAAAAAGAATAAAAGGTTTGTAAATGCAGCCAGGTCACCGGTTTGGGTGTCGTGGCCGCCTGCAAGCTCACGCAGGCAGGAAGGGGGTTAATCCAGGTGTCAGGTAGGACATGTGCTGCTGGGGCTGGAGGGTGGCCAAATCCACCTTCTCCCCATCTGTTTTGGATTAAGGCCAAAAAAACAACCACCCCTCCGTGGCGAAACCACCTGCAGCTCCGGGGCTGCCGAGGAGGAGGAGGAGGGATGGAAGGTTGGGGGGAGCGGGGGGATCTCCTCTCCCTGGCCCCCGGGTTCGGGGGGCCGTGGGGGATGCCGTAGCCCCGTAGGCGAGTGTTGCAGTGAATGATTAACTTCGTCAGGCTGAGGAACCGCTTCATCCAGGGATTTTTTTTTTTTTTTTTTTTTGACCTTTTAGGGGACTATTGTCTCCTGAGAAGCTGTTGGTAAACATAATTACCGAGGGCTGGTGGGGCTCGGAAGGCACCGCGCGTCCTCCCGTCCCGCTACGTGTTCCTGTGCGGCGCTGTCGGGATACTGAAAATCCCATCGTTGGGAGGTGTTGGAGCCCGTGTGGTTTCTGTGCCGCCTGCTCAGGGCTCTCAGGAGGGCGGGTTTTAGGTTTGGGTTTTTTTTTTTTTTTTTTTCTTGACTTAAATTAACTTCAGACATGCAAAAGAGGGTGAGAAAGTGCTACGGTTGTAGAGAACAAATTTGGCCGGTGGAGGAGTTTGAGCTGGCGGGAGGGGATGGGGATGGGGACCGGGTACCTGGCACGTGTCTGAAGCATCCCAGCATCATCCGAATTTCAGGAATGCTTTAGGTTTTGCCTGTTAGCTCCGGTTTTATTGAAGCACCGGGGTGGCTGGTAGCATCCCACGGTGCCAGGGCTCTCCCGTCCTTGCTGGAGGGAGTTTCTGGGCTGGGGCTGCCTCTCTCCCACCATGGTTGTGCCTTACAGCCCGGTGGGATGGGATCAAAGCAAGGCACTCCTCCGGCAGCAGCCTGGTTCTCAGCTTTGGGTATGGCTCGCTGGCTTCAAAATAAGCTGGCAGTGACTTCTGCAGAAGCAGGGGCATCTGGTGCGGTGTTGCCAGCGTCTAAAACAGTCCATCGTCTATGCCAGAGCATCCCAGGTTAGGTGGGCTCTGATATCCATTAGCCTATTGTAGGCAAAGTGTGTAGCTTTTGTGCAATTTCAGGAGGCAAAAACCCCACAAACGCTCTGAAAGCAAAGGTTAAAACATACAACAAAGTTATTTTTGTTTTTTCTTTTTTTTTTTTTTTTCTCTTGAGATGAGCAGGGGAAAAGCATGCAGGAAATTTAGGAATCTAGGCAATTACAGAGCTCCTTTGTTTTTAATTAGCTGTGTTGTTTTTAATTGCTACTATGCTTGATACATAACCCAGCCTAAACAAGAATAGCTTATTGAATGGGGGACTGACTATGAAAGGCACCGTGAGGAGAAGGGCTGTTCTTCACAGTTGATATATTTGTATTTCAGTGCTTCGTTTAATAAGTGTGTTTCCCCAGGGGGCTGTAGCAAGTAAATCATGCCAACAGATTGTTCTCTGCAAACTGGCTTATTTTTGTAATTAGCAAGACGTTAAAGCTGTAACTGCATAGAAAGCAATCTGGGTAAGGAGTTAACATAAAAGAATTAGTAAGCAAAACGTAATACTTATTGTTTGATAACACTGGTGTTGATTGAATTGGTTTCCGGACAGTTTGTTGTCTGCGATAGTTGGGTTTTCTGCTGCGTCGGAAAATGGGAGAGAAATTCAGCAGGTGTGCACAGCGAGGGCGGTAAGGTGTGGGTCTTTTGGGGAGAGCACTTTTTGGGCATCAGACCTGCACGGCCAGGTGGACCTGATGGAGAAGTCTTGCTGGGGGTTAAAGCCATCCTGCTTATCACCAGAAACTGCCAGCATTTCCCTCGCTTTATTTTGCTTTTCTCCTTTGTCTTCCAGTTATATGAAAATTACGGCGTCACCATGAGCGGGGTATTGAAAAGGAAGTACGAAGAGCTGGGGGATGACAGCACCTACTGCTCCTCCTCTTCCTGCTCCCCCCTCTCCTCCTCGGCGTCCTCGGGCTGGGAGTCGGATGAGGAGAGCTCCCGCGGAGAGCCCAAGCCCAGCTCTGCCTTAACGCCCGGCTTCACCCGTGAGTATCTCCAGCAGCCCCTTTCCTGGGATCAGACATGCCCACGCACAGGTTTTTTGTAGCGTGGTGGTGGGTCGTCGCCTCTGTCCATGCAGAGACCCCCTTGGAGCACACCTTCAGGGGTGGAAGTGGCCGTGACACTGGCTCCCTGTCATTACACCAATTTATCCTGGTTTTATAATTGGCCAGCATCTTCAGGGTCGTCTTTCTCAGCCCTTCCTCCCAGCCTTTATCATTCCTTTATAACGTTTTTGCTGAAGTCCAAATTTCTAGGAGTAGAAACCCAAAGACCTGGGTGTGCAGAGACCACCAAGCAGTGCTGTAGGACCAGCCCCCAGTCCCCCGTCAAGCTGTTCCACAGGCAGCCACTGAACAGACAGCAAAGGCCCATAACGCTGGGTTTTAAAAACTATTAACCAGTAGTGTAATTACCCTTTCAGAACTCGTTTCCTACGTAAGTTGGGTACTTTGCCAAAGAACATGACACATTTGACATTGCCTCCGCTGTTAGTACAGATAAATGCTATTTTGTTTTCCCAGCGATACCAGTTTTGAGAGCTTTTAGGAAAACACACAGAAGACAAGGTTGTAAAATCCTTTATCTGCCACGTGAAGGGAAAAATAAAAAATACAATAGGGAACATCTTCGTGGAGGAGAAATAGTCCAACCTAGTAAATAATACTGAACACCCACTGTATATAGCAGTTAAGGTCCACTTAGCAGACATACACAAACACGCAGTGGTCTGAAAAGGCTTTAGAAGTCTTGTAATAATAAAGAGTCTCATTCTTGCTTGTCTTCCCAGGTTTTGTGACAAAACAATGAACTTTTTGTATTCTCTGGCTCAATTGGAAAAGGGTCAGGAATGGGAAAACAATTTCAGAGGGGGGTTGCGGGGAGGGAGAAGCAAATGCCAAAGCGCAGCAGCTCAGCTGATAGATGATCGCGGTGGTTAACTTGCCTTTTGATAAAGAGCTAATGTTTTAGAAGATTGAGTCAAGGTTATTATGAAAATGCAACGCGCAGTGCAAAGATATCATCAAAGCAACTGCAGAGCCCAGTGTGAAACCCTCAGCTATTTAGCAGAAGCTGCTGACGCAGCTGGGTGAACGCTTTTTTTTTTTTTTTTTTCATATGAAACTGAAATGCTGTATTTTGGCAAGCAAGACTTGTGAAACGTGGGTGCAGCTAACTGTTCGGTCTTGCACTTTCCCAGCCTTTTGGGGCCAGCCAAACCAGCCGAGCCCCTTGGGTTTTCGGCAGTCCTTTCAGTTGGCTCCCTGCAGTAGGGCTGCCTGCGGCTCCGCCATCCAAAGAGTGGGGCTCGGATCCCAGCTCTGCGGGAGTCACCCATCCTTTCTGGGTTGTTTTTTCCCATATTCTCCATGCTGGCAACTGGGACATCCATGCACCAGCAGAGAACGGGACCAAAAAACCCCACCACTGAATTTGTGCACAGCTGACTCTGACGCTCATGCAGCAGAAAAAGCAGCTCTGTAACCCAGTACCACTGAGTTTTGCTTTGCTTTCCGTGGCCAGCTACGTTCGTGGAAATTCATTGACTCTGAAACTGTCCTGGCTAATTAGTCCACCTCCATCTGCTATGTTTGCACATGCAAATGTGCAGAACTAGGTATCTCTGGAGAGGCTCCTCTTTAAATGGTGTGTAGCGTGTTTCAGCAGTTAAAGATAAACCAGCGTAATGTATTGCCATGTTTACCCTGGGATCACCTGCATAAAGAGTAACATCTTTGCAGCTGCTCTCAAATGAGTCTCTTGAGAATAAACTATAGGTTTGTAGTTCCTCCCAGTGGATGGTGAAAGGAAGTACCAGAAAAACAGCCGGTTTGGCTATTTTCTACCCTGCCGCAAAAGCTGGAGCCACGCAGGGCTGGAGCGTTGGTGCTCCGGCATCCCGGGAGCGAACCGCGAGCTCCTGAACGTGAGGCAGGGTGCTTGGGTTTAGAGCAAGGCAGGCATGTAGGATGGTTTGTTGCTTGTTCATTATGCTCTGCTGCACGTGAAGAATAAGCAAATGTATGTTTCCTGGAGGAAGTCAAGCGGGAAGGAGAAGCAGCAGCCGTTTCTTAGGGCGAATCTGATCGGTGACTCCGATGCATGGGGGCTTGGCTTAGTTTCCTCTCCATCCTCATGCCACCTTTGAAGCGTTAGATCCTAAAACACCAGAAGCCATCAAGCGATGTTGTAACCTTGTCCCATCGTGTCCCTGTCAAGAGAGTAATTGCACGTCCTGCCTGTTTGTAATATTTACAGCCTGTTTGTAATATTTCTGTCCCGTCTGCAGGATGGCAGTACTGACTTTCTCCCTTTTTTTTATTTTCTTCCCCCATTTTTAGCCACGTCTATCCTGAAGAAATCCAAGCGACTAAAGAAGAACAATGTGGAGTTTGACCGGGTCACTGTGTTTTACTTCCCACGCTGCCAGGGGTTCACGAGCGTGCCTAGTCGCGGGGGCTGTACCCTGGGGATGGTGAGCAAACACAGCTCCTCCCGGCAGTTCACACTAGCAGAGTTTTCCAAGGAGCAGGAAAACGTTCGTCGGGAGAAACTTGAAGAGAAATTAAAAGAGGAGAAGTTGGAAGCGTTGAAATGGAAAGTGAGTAGGAGCATGGGGCTAGGCTGGTGAGGAGCGGGTGGGTGTCGTTAGTTAATGGCCATTTTTTTAGTAGGAGCCTCTCTGAGACCTGGGGGCATCGGTCCTTAACCCTGTTTGGGTCTCCAAAAACACGGGCTCCAGCGTGGGATTTTCAGCTCAGTTCTCCACCTTTGAAACCTGGTGGAAAAGACACGGAACTCCATGTGTCAGGTGTCTGTCAGGTCTCTGGGGGCTCTGACACAGATTTTAGTCCTGGGGTTGTCCACCATGGGGGACAGATCTTTCCTTTCTTGTTTCTCCTGACCTGGGGGTGCTGATGGCTCTGTGTCCGCAACAGGTCCCTAATGCTTTGCCCATTTTTTGCCCTCAGCTAACCATGAACGGCACAAAGGAGTCGGAGGAGGCCAACCAGCTCACCATCGAAGACATCTCCGATGATGACATCGACGTCAGCAACATGGACCTGGAGGACGGCTTCTTCCTCCAGCCCTACCCCGCCAAGAAGAGGCGCGCGCTGCTGAAAGCCGTGGGGGTGAAGAAGATCGACAAGGAGGAGAAGCGGGAGCTGCACAACATCCGTCTGTCCCGGGAGGACTGTGGCTGCGACTGCCAGGAGGTCTGCGACCCGGAGACCTGCAGCTGCAGCTTGGCGGGCATCAAATGTCAGGTACTGCCCTCGCCGCTGGGCGCGGGGGAAAAGCCGGGGCTCCAGCTGATGTGGACGTTAAAGCGGGGGGGGGTTGAGCAAGCAGGACGGGGTTAGGGCAGCTTGTAAAATGCGTCTGTTCCCACCCGCACTCGTAGCGAAGCAGGCGAGAAAAGCTCTTGGAGATACTCCCCAGGCTGCTCGAAAGCGTGCGCTTCCCAAATCACCCGTGTGGCCATGCACACGCAGCCGGGGCAGCCCTGGGGACGTGCCCGAGCCTGCAGCCTGAATGCGCTCGCCACGTCCGTCCCCACGAGACCCGTGCCTGCTCGCTCTCCTATTGGAGACGGGCCACGTGGGAATGTCTGGGCAAACAAAAGCTTCTCGCTCCTCACACGAGATTGCAATTTCTCCTCCTCCCCTTGGTTTTATTTTTGATTTTTTTTTTTCCCCCCACCCCTTGGTGTGTATCACAACTCCCAGTGCGCTCAGGCGAACGTGGGAGTGTCAGCTGAGCGTCAACCCCCAGCTAGCAGTGCGGACCACCTGCAAAGTGGGATAATC